GCTGTCCCTCAGCTCTTCAGCTCAAGGCTAGTGCTCTACCACTTAAGCCATAGTGCCACTTCCAGCTTTTTTTTTTGTTTTTCTGCTTATGTGGTGCTGAGGAATCAAACCAAGGGCCTCAAGCATGCAAGGCAAGAACTTTACCACTGAGCCACCTTCCCAGCCCGTATAGTGTGCTTTTTAAAGTGACTCAGCCCAACTTCTCAAATAAAATAGGAGTAATATTTACATCAGAGGGTCTGCATAGGAAGATATGATCTAATGGAATGTATACTGTAGTTCAACAGTTTTCTCAAAATCCTTTCATGACCATCTTATCTCTCCTAAATACTATTTTTGTAGCATTTGTTTTCTGAAATTTTCTAGTCATTAATTATCCATGAGTGGAATACACTTGTTTCACTGTCTTCAGTGCCTAGAATGGTGTGACCTTGCTTGCTAGTTACAAATGAACATATATAGGAGATATATCAACAGTGGCAGCTATTATTGGATAATTTCTTGGATCTGGCTTGTCCTGAATATTTTAAACAAAAGATTTCCATCAAAGAAGCTCTGTTGGGGCAGAGTTGAGTATCAATGGGATCTGGGAGAGCTAATGGGTAGAGTAAATAAGGATGAATGTAGGGGCTGGGAAGGTGGCTCAGTGGTAGAGTGCTTGCCTTGCATGCCCGAGGCCCTGGGTTCTATTCCTCGGTACCACATAAGCAAAAAGAAAAAAGCCGGAAGTGGTGCTGTGGCTCAAGTGGTAGAGCATTAGCCTTGAGCTGAAGAGCTGAGGGACAGCGCCCAGGCCGAGTTCAGGCCCCATGACCGGACCCAAAAAAAAAAAAAGGAAAGAAAAAGAAGGATGAATGTGGTTGAAGTATAGTTTATCTATGTATATTCAAACCTGTTAAAATTTTTTTGAAAAGGAATGATAGAAGGCGTGAGAGTTTGACTGGGATACATTACATGTACAGAAATGTTATAAGAAAACCCCTTCTTGTATAACTAATAAAAATCCATAAAATAAAATAGATTCCAATGAGACTCTACCTTTTCAGAAAGAGCTGTGTAAAAAACATTTTTTTTCCCTTTTGGTACCAGTACTGTAGCTTGAACTCAGAGCCTGAGTGCTATACCTTAGTTTTTTAAATTAAGGCTACCACTCTATCACTTGAGCCATACCTCTGCATTTCTGGCTAATTGGAGATAAGAGTATTATGGGCTTTTCTGCTCATCTGGCTTCCAACCTTAAGCCGAAGCTTCCTGAGTAGCTAGGATTATAGTCATGAGCTATTGATGCTCAACCTGAGTAAAATCTTTTTAATATGCCTTATACAACTTTCTAGTATTTAGGGACAATTTGTAGAGTCTTACATATAGAAATTACTGTAATGGGGGGCTGAGAAGGTGGCTCAGTGGTAGAGCGCTTGCCTTGCATGCATGAGGTCCTGGGTTCAATTCCTCAGCACCACATAAGCAAAAAGAAAAAAGCCGGAAGTGGCGCTGTGGCTCAAGCCTTCAGCCTTGAGCTGAAGAGCTGAGGGACAGCGCCCAGGCCCAGAGTTCAGGCCCCACGACCGGACCAAAAAAAAAAAAATTTTTTTTTTTAAATTAAAGTACCACTTTTTCAGTAGGAAACAGGATTGTAAGATATCTATACAAAGAAAAGAATGAGGTAGAGCTCTGTATACTTATGTGAAAAGGCATCTGTAACAAGTAGAGGGGAAAGTAAAAATACAATACATACAGTATTAGTATTTATGTGGTGTGGTTGAAAGTATACATACAACCTATTATCTCAGCTACTTGAGAGGTCAAGGCAAAAAGATACTGAATTTTATGCCAGACTAGGCTCCATAGCAAGATCCTGTCTGAAAAACAAAACAGTGTCTATACATGTATGTCTGTACACACACACACACACACACACACACACACACACACACACACGAATGTATCTGCAGATGCAGAAAAAAAAAAAAAAACTGGAGCAGTTTACACCAAATATTGGAGACTGGGAAGTGAGATCTTCACCTTTTTACTTTCATATTTCTTCATTGACTGTTGAACTTACTTTACAGTGAACTTACTTTACAGGCTATTTATAAAAAAAAAAATCTTTCCCCAAAAAGGGGAAAGCATAATGTGAATGTGTCTAAGAAAAAAAGGGAAAAGGTTATTTGAAATAGGTTATAAAAATAACAAGTAATAAAATTTACAGGACCAACTAGTCATGGGCCTCATGATGGCCTTTTCAGTCAGCAAAGACCCCATGCATGAGGGTGGTTCTATAGATTTTATCACCTTGTGACACTGTAGTTGTCTCTGTGTGTATGTACATGTTAGGTTGTTTACAGAGTGATGAAATAAACTAATGATGCACTGCTCAGAATGTATTCCTGTCATTAAGCAAGAAATGATTTTATTGGTAAGTATGGAAGCTGAGTAACTCTGGGGTTGAGGCATTTCTAAGAGCTAAAACAACATTCTTGGTTGGGGTGGGCCTAACCCTGATGAAGCAGAGTAAATAAACTTTCATTGCAGGTTATACACTGGTTCAGCAAATGAGGTAAAGAGGTGAACAACAAAGAACAGTTCTGAACAGGTTAAGGCCCTGGACATCACCATTGTCCTCACGGGTGCTGTCTGGTACCTACCTTTAAGGCCTCACTCATCCCTCTGCCAATCACTATGGTCTGTACACCCTTCTCAGCCACTTCCTTTACATCTGCAGGCTGCACACCAGGAGAGTGCTAGATGTGGAAAGAGAAAACAAAAATACTGATCTTTCTTCACAATAGGCATTCTTAGGGGATTCATGCATTTAAGACATGTTTACTGGGGCTGGGAAGGTGGCTCAGTGGTAGAGTGCTTGCCTTGCATGCCTGAGGCCCTGGGCTCGATTCCTCAGCACCACATACACAAAGAGAAAAAAGCCGGAAGTGGTGCTGTGGCTCAAGTGGTAGAGCGCTAGCCTTGAACTGAAGAGCTGAGGGACAGCGCCCAGGCCCAGAGTTCAGGCCCCATGACCGGACCCCCCCCCAAAAAAAAAAGACATGTTTACTGAATTTCTCTGTAACCAAGTTATTTTTCTGAGCCCTGTGAATAACAGAGAAGATGGATATAGAGCTGCCCTGAAGGACATACAAGCCACGTGAAAAAATATAGAAGGGTAAAAAGGAAGCTGGGTGCCGGTGGATCATGCCTGTAATCCTAGCTATTCATGAGACCTGAGGATCATGATTTAAGCCAGCCCAAACAGGAAAGTCCATGAGATTTTCCAATCTCCAATTCATCAGGAAAGAAAGAAAGAAAAGGAGGAAAGACAGGAAGACAGAAAGACAGACCCTGGAAATGTAGCTGTAACTCAAGTGGAAGCATACCAGCCTTGATTGAAAAAGCTAAGGGACAGTACCCAAGGCTTGAGTTCAAGTTTCAGTGCGCACACGCCCCCCCCCAAATTCCATATATTACAAGTGGCTCTTTGAATAAATGTCAAAATCCCTGAACTGTTTTGTAAATTCCAGTTGTTTCTCTGTATTCTTTTCTCCTGTCCCAACTGCATCACCCCGGCTTCTATCAGGGCACATCCTCCCTCACCTCTGATAAGATGATGGAAATACTGAGCAAGACGAATGCATTCATAAAATGACATGTTGATTGGAATCCCTTTTGTACAATTAAAGATTATAAAGAAAATAAGATGAAAATAAAATCTATAGATTATAAAGAAAATAAGATGAAAAAATCTATAGATTGGTGAAAATATCTGTACATCACATATCTGACAGTGGACTTATCGTCAGAAGATATGAAGAACTCTCACAGTATCAGACAGAAACTTCTGGCTGGAGATAACAGAACTGGAACTGAGCCATGTATTATAATCACACTGGCACGGTTTTAATAGATGCTTCATGTCTGAGATGAAGAGATGAACTGAGGGGCTAGGAAGGTGGCTCAGTAGTAGAGCGCTTGCCTTGCATGCATGAAGCCCTGGGTTCAATTCCTCAGCACCACATAAGCAGAAAAAGCTGGAAGTGGTGCTGTGGCTTAAGTGGTAGAGCTAGCCTTGAGCTGAAGAGCTGAGGGACAGCGCCCAGGTCCAGAGTTGAAGCCCCACAACTGAAAAGAAACTGAAAAAAAAAAAAAAAAGATGAACTGAGAGAGAATGAGTGAGTGATCAGGCTGCCCATAAAAAAAGGCAAAGGTTTTTAAGTGCACAGATAGGATAAAGTCTGTGAATGTTTGCTGCTCCTCTACAGTTTTAAAAGGTGTTTTATTTTGTGTAAGATTCTAGCCTTGAGGAATGAGTTATCAGATTTAACAGGCACCTTTATATTCCTTTTGTTAGTCCTCTGCCATCCTACACAAACACCCCGGTCATGTGATAAGGATTCTCTGTAGCTGCTAAAATACATTCATGTGAGAGAAGAAAATTCCTGTTATCATTTAAGGGCTCAGGAGATTGTTTGCCTTCTGTCCTTTTGTGGGAACCCTTTAACAGCCTCATTCTAGTTTATTTTTGGAGAGGTTCTAGGGGTGGTGTCCTAGATTTATAGTGCACCTGATTTACTGTGATGGATTAGATCTATTGGAAGAGAGAATGTGGGGAAGAGAATGTATCATGCTTCAAATGGCTAAGAGATTATGAGCTAGGGCCTCAGGAGTACTCTTTGATCCCCAGGTAGTCTCTGATTGTCTCAAAGCAAGGAAACAATCTAGGTGTTTTTGTTGTTATTGTTGTTGTTTTATACATGTCCTGGGGCTTGAACTCTGGGCCTGGATTCTGTTTCTGAGCCTCTTTTTTTTTTCTTTCTTTCTTTTTTGGTCTGGGGCCTGAAATCTGGGCCTGGACATGGTCTCTCAGCTCTTCACCTCAAGGCTAGCACTCTACCACTTGAGCCACTGCACCACTTCCAGCTTTTTCTGCTTATGTGGTGCTGAGGAATTGAACCCAGGGCCTCATGCATGCAAGGCAAGCATTCTACGACTGAGCCACCTTCCCAGTCTTTGAACTGAGATCCTCAGATCTCAGCCTCCTAAGGAGCTGGGATTACAGGCATGAGCTACTGCCGCCCAGCTTAAGAATATAGTTTTTAAAATGGGCAAAATAGGGCCTTGCATGCCTGAGGCCCTGGGTTCGATTCCTCAGCACCACATAAGCAAAAAAGAAAAAAACTCAGAAGTGGCACTGTGGCTCAAGTGGTAGAGCGCTAGCCTTGAGCTGAAGAGCTGAGGGACAGCGCCCAGGCCCAGAGTTCTGGCCCCATGACCGGACTCAAAAAATAAAAAAATAAAATAAAATGGGCAAAATATTTAGCACTTTATTAGAGAAGATTATATGGATGGTTAATATACACTTGAAAAGAATCAATATCATTCATCACTATGGAAATGCAGATTAAAAGCACAATGAGGTATCAAATGCCAGAGAGGAATTTGCTTAAGACACTGAATCTCTCATATACTGCTAGTGGTAGTGAAAAATATAGAGCTACCCTGGGAAATAGTTTCGCAGTCTGTCATAAAGATAAACATATTTATCATGCAACTCAGCAATCATACCTCCTGGATATTTATCCTAAAGAAATTAAAATTTGTATTCACACAAAAGCTTTTAAGTGAATGTTCTCAGGAGTTTTACTTATAATAACCTAAAACTGGAAATAACTCAAATGCTCATCAACTGGTAAGTAGGCAAACAGATTGTGTTATATTCAATAGTGGAATAGTACTTATCAGTATACATGAATAATCTAAGGATGTATGTGGAAACATGGATGAACCTAACTATATACCAAGTGAAAAACACAAATCTGAAAATGTTACATACTTTATTACCCAAATAAGTTATACTAGATAATAGTATCTGTTAATTTCCTTATTTTGATCATTGTGATTATGATACTTTTTTTGAGATATACATAGGTATTTAAAAGTAAAGGCATATAGTATTTTCACTGTTCTCTAGAGTTTTGCCAAAAGGAAGGAGAAAAAGGTGGGGAGGGACAATACAAAACAGATGGTCCAGGAGGTACAAACTGATTTCCAGGTCCTACTTGTCACTCTCCTGAGTGGCCTTTACTTTCTCTTTACTAAACTCCTTACAGCTTTGAAAAAAGAGTTTAGATAAACATTTTTATCTATAAATGAAGAAAATGATTAAAAAATAAAATATCAACCTCTGGATCTGGGTGAAAGATACATAAAAACACTTGGAGCTGGGTGCCAGTGGCTCATGCCTATAATCCTAGATACTCAAGATGCTGAAACCTGATGACCACAGTTCAAGGCAAGCCTGAGCAGAAAAGTCCAGGAGTCCCTTATCATCAATTAATTACCAGAAAACTGGAAGTGGCACTCTGGCTCAAAGTAGTAGAAGCAAAAAAGGTCAGGGACAGCTCCCAGGTCCTGGAGTTCAAGCCCATGAACCAAAACAACAGAAACTTTGTATAGTCTTGTAATTTTTTATAATCCTAAAATTATTTGAAAATGAAATACATATAACAGTGTGTAAGCTATATAAGCAAATTATAAATTAGCCAGAAGAGACCACATCAGGCATATGCACACATCCACCTACTCCCTGATTTATTTCACCAGGGACACTGAGCTGAACAGAAGTCAGGTGGCTTCATAAAGCAGAAGGGAGGAGTACATTTTTGTGGGCTTCCTATAGTCTCTCAGTTCCTCGTGGAGTGTGCAGTTGCTGGGACGTTCTTTACTAATTCAGTTGTTTGAGAAAACAAATTTGCCTTTTGTATTCATGCTTCATGACTTAGCATCTTCCTGAGGAGTTTACACTAAGGCTGTTTGCACTCATGTTTAAATATCAAAATGTGAGCTAGGTTAGAGCACCTGCATGTCAAAGGGCATCATGGGCATCAAGGTCATTCACATTTTGGGACAAGATGTAGAGCTGCTACCAGTGTGTTTGTAAAGAATATAGTGCCACTGCTCTAGCTTTATCTGTTTCCCACAAAGATCAGAAGAGAGTTGGGGAAATGAATTAATTAAAAAAATTTTTTTGTCAGTGCTAGATACAACCCATGGTATTGAACTTGCCAGCATTTGAGCTATGCCAGAGCTCTAGATTGTTTTCTTAAATGTTTTCTAAACTTGCCAGGTACCAGTGGCTCATGCCTATAATCCTATCTGCACCCGAGGCTGAGATCTAAAGATCTTGCTTTAAAGCCAGCCCACAAGACTTCATCTCCAATTAGCCAGCTGGAATGAGCAGGCCCTCACGGACTTTCCTGCCCTGGCTGGCTTTGAACCGTGGTCCTCAGATCTCAGCATTCTGGGTAGCTAGGATTACAGGCGTGAGCCACAGGTACCCAGCTGTGGTTCACTCTTATAATCCTAGCTATTCAAGAGGTTGAGATCTGATGATTGTAGTTTTAATTCATCCCAGGTAGACAAATCCAAGAGACTCAGGTCTAATTAATCAGTTAAAATCCAGAAGTAGAGGTGTTCAAGTGGTAGCATGCCAGCTCTAAGTAGAGAAAAACTGAGTAAGAGTGGTTATATCCTGAGTTCAGCTCTCAGTGCCAGCATACACACACACACACACATAAATTACACACACACAAATTATCTAAGCTTGTCACTTTTTAAAAGGAGAAGCAAAATACCAGAGGTGTTTTCACTCAGTCACACCTAGCTCTTAAAGACTGGAACAACGGTGGATTAGATGCTCTTTAGTTTTCATTCTAAAGTAAGTGATCAAATCTAGGATTACCTTAAGCTA